TAAGAAAGCCATGTAAATGCTTCTTTCAATCAACAAAAGTGACTTCCCTTTATCTCAATTCCAACATGAGCACCTAATTCTTGATTTTATGATTTTCCAAATAGTAAAATAAAAATTTATTTTTTTATTTTACTAAAATCTTTATCTCAATTCCAACATCAGCACCCAATTATTGATTTTATGACTTTCCAAATAGTAAAATAAAAATTTTCAATAGTGGTCCGTTTGAGACCTAGCGGCCCATTGAAGCTGGTCTAATTGGGAGCCCGCTAAAGTATGGGGTTACTTTTTTGGGTTTTTTTAGGCGTGGGTATAATTTTTTAGACTTATTTAGGTAAAAGTGTATGGATAAATTATTTATTCTATTAAGTACAATTTTTATAAAAAATTTTGTGTTTAGGTACAAAATTTAAATGAATTAAAATCTTTTTTACTTAAACATTCTTCCTTAATTTATGCAGTCATCATCGACAATTATTTGAATTTTGAATTAGCAGTTTTGTATGCAATAAAAGTCTATGTTCAACTAATCTCTGCAGTAAGACAAAAAGTTTATGCAATAACACAAAAAATCTTCAAATGCCTCTACAGTTTGTTCAAAAAAACAAACTGATCTTTGTAGTAATAGTCTTCTTCAACGTCTGTGTTCATCTAATCTCGGTAGTAAGAGTCCTATTCAACGGTCGATTTACTTCTCCAGTGGTGGATTTATTTGAAAAAAGGAACTGCAAATACGAATCATAGTCATCGGCTTAAAGATTAGTTGTTAATAATTATATTTCTTCTTTTATTTTGTCATTTTTTTTTTGGAAAATTTTTTATGTTTGATTTTGTTTTATGTTTGTGCGTTGTTGGAATGAAGGGGAAAAAAACTGCATTTGATTTTAATGGGCGTAATTGTTTTTAATGGATGTAACTATTTTTTCTTATAGACATAATAAGTATATTTTTTCTTTTATTCATTCATTTTTTTTTTTGGAAATGACTATGTTCGATTTTGTTTTATATTTGTTCGTTGTTGGAATGAAGGCGAAAAAGAATTATTTTTTGTTTTAATGGGTGTAACTGTTTTTTCGTATATAAATAATAAGTATATTTCTTATTTTATTTGTTCATTTTTTTTGGAAAATTCCTATATTCGATTTTATTTTATGTTTGCTTGATGTTGGAATGAAGGGGAAAAAATTGATTTTGTTTTAATGAGTGTAATTGTGTTTTAATTGGTGTAACTGTCCTTTTAATGGGTGTAACTGTGTTTTAATTAGTGTAACTGTGTCAATAAAGTTCCAACAATTAATTTTTGAATATTAACAGTTTGCAATTTGTGATCACAAAGAGTTCTTTTAAACAGTTAAATAACTATTTTTAATCAAAAAAATCAAACAACACAGATTGTGGAAAAAAAAAATTAATGACTGACAAAAAAACAAAAATAAATGTCAACTATAATTTTCGGTGAAGAAGTTGCTGAAGATGATTCACAGTTACTTAACCATAGGACACGATGAACAATAAGTCGTATTCTTCTTCTTTTTTTGGATGATGAACAGAAACTCGAATTCCTCCTTCTTCTTTTTTACGATGAACAGTAACTCATATTCCTCTTTTTTTGGACGATGAACACAGTAACTTGGGTTCCTCTTTTTTTTAGACGATGAACAGTCACAGTTCTGGCATCCCAATCCCCTTGCCGAAGAAGATGGGTTTTGATAATTAAACCCCCTATTTTACCTCCCACTTGATTTTAGCCAAAAAAAAAAACGGATGGAAGATAATGGGTTTCCATATATTTATTATTTACCGTTTACCGATGGCAATAGTGGTATTTAAAAAAAATATGCATTTTACCCAAAATAAGTTTTTGAGTTGTACGTTTGCCTAAATAAGTCTAAAAAATTGTACCGACTTCTAAATTATCCTATTTTTTTACTTGTGATAATTGTTGGTGGGTACATCTTAGACAATTTATTTGACTTTATGGGTTTTTCTTTTGAATCGGTACTTAATTTATCATTTAATTGTAAAAAAATAACCTGTACAAAATAGTACAAAATATTTTGTATAGAAGTCTTTTTTTTTTTTTTGGGTAACAAAAATGCCCACAAAGTAACAATTATATGGCGCAAAAAGAGGATAAGGAATCTGTCATAAATCATGCAACAATCCTATTAAATTCAATAATTGTTATATCCTTCAAAACATGGGTTTTTAAAATTTTTTTTAAAAAAATCTGCTATAAAATCCTTCAATTTTCAATTCAAAAAAAAAGAAACACACAAATGTTGAAGCACCGTTGAAGACCAATCTTCGTTCTGTTCCGAGTCAAATTGTCAATAATATGACATTATAGTGATACATAACAATGTAACCCAATCATTAACACTTTAATCACTGACAAAAAAAATTATAAAATTATATTCACTGATTCATATACAATCTAAATACATCACAGAATGTGATATCACAAATGTGACATCTCTATATATTGTTTTTAATGAACGGTAGTGTTACATCACAATGTAACATTACAAAGTAACATTATTGTTATATTTAAGAACAACTAGAGCCGTTTAACATTAAAAAAATAACATAAAAAATGAATTCAAAATTTAGGTCAAGTCGTGTTATATTCCATGTGGTATAATTTTGAATTTCCAATACGTTCAACCCTTAAATTATGAAAACATTAATATAATAAATCAAATCTCATAAAAATAGGACTGCCAAACTAATAGGCCTTCAAATAAAGAAAATAGTATTTGAGTGAAGAAAATATTTAAAAATCTGGCAATGGGTATCAAACTACAATACATTTTAAATCAAAGTTACTTATCTACAAAAAAATTTAGTTAAAATATTTTCTCACAATTAAGTAGTTTAAAAGTATCATCTACTCATAATTTCTCGTTGACTTTAAATACACAGCTCAAACTTTTAAGTTATTAAACAGCCCAAAGTTTCGGCTAGCAGGTTAACATTTTAGTTTTTTTTTTTTATCTTTTTGTATTATTTAATTACCCTTACCTGACAGTTTTCTTAATTTCAGATGTGTAAAATTGTTATAATAGATTTTTCAAACTGTTGTGATTTATAAACCGTTTGAATTTTATAATTTGATTCTCAAAATCTTTGCCACAAATAATCGAAGCTTACCTTCTTTAGTCATTACGTTTTTCAAACTAGAAACATAATTTTTTCTTCTTTAGCCATTGATGATTTTTCGAATCTGGTCAATATGAGATATCGTTGTCTTGAACTTTCACAAACAGGAAAAAATCGTCAGGTATGAAGTATTTATTTTATTATTTTTTTTTTTCGTTGTTAAATTTTTTAGGATTTTGCTTTTTTATAAAATTTGAATTTATTATTGCTATTGTAAGGCGCGAAAAGTGGATCCACTCTCACAAAAATTGCTGAATACGAGTCTTGTATCCTACCTTCTCTTTCCTGCAAAATGAACAAACAGCCTAGGACCGAAGTGTTTCGGTCGAAGGCACTTCGATAGTTAAGTCAATACTTGTTTGTAAAGAATATGTATACAGAGAGAATTTTGTGTACCTTTTATAGTTCATACTTGATACTTTTTACAGCCTTTCTTCATTAGGGCTTCCCTGATTGATGATGTTAGGTGGCACACCTCCTATCAATTTGAGATTTTTGTTAGGCATTTCCTAAAATCTCTCCAAACATTCCTTCTGTTGATCGGCATTTCTCGAGCCCTTGATTGTGCTTGTTCATTATACCTAAATGCCTAGATTATAGGCATTCCCTTAATTTGAGGTTGTTCCATGCTCGGTTTCATTGAAACTAAGCTCTTGTTTTTCTTATCGAATTCTAAACAGTTCGGCTCAGGATTGTGGAATGAGACCCCATAATTTAACTTAGTTGTTACTTTAATGTTTCCTTGCGTGATATGTCTCATCATCCTCACGTGAGCATATTAAATGCTCCTTGCATGTGGCGCAATTTTAATACATCTTCACTTGCCCCCAAGAAACGTGTCAACCGTTTTTTCGTCTTCCAGTCATTTTATATTCCCAAGTTACCATTGCATGCATCCTTAAGACATGCACTTTGTTCTGATGGCATGTCTTGCATTAAATATTTGTCTTTTGGGCTTCAATTGTTTTATCAAATCCACGTTTTTAACAAGGGGTGCAAACCCTTCCTTCTTCTACAATTGTCCTTTTTTCTTTGGTTTTGTCTCTGCTATCTTGGGTTTTATTTTTCTGAAATTACTCCTCTCACTTCTTCAGACATACCTACTTTTAGAACTAAGTACCAAATTCCTGGCAACGTTCGTGTTCGAGTTGCTGGGACTAATGAGCCCCTAATTGGTACTAGAGAGAGCATCCCCATCCATACTTGAGCCGTCACTGAAGGTGGGGTTCGCTTCCCTCTTCATCCCCTTCTTCTATGGGTGCTTTCAGCACTAAAGTTGTGTCCCATCCAATGCTACCCATATTTCTTTAGGATTATAATGGACATTGCTACCCTCAACAAGCTCTTGGACTTAAGCCTGGGCCTCTGGAAAATCTTATTCTATTACATCATCAAGCCAATTGGAGACAACTATTATCTTGCAATGAGGAAGAAGGATCGCTACTTAGTGACCCACCTCCCAAATTCAAACGAAGGTCATGAAAACGACGTTGTTTTCGTCTCTAGCAACTAGGAGTATGCTGCTGGTGAAACTCCTTTTTATTGATGCCCCTGCGAAGATGGCACACCAAGTGACTAATGATATGTTTCTTTTTTTTTCTTTTTACAACCCTTCTCTTTATACTTATTCTTCATCTTCTTGCAAGTGAAACTGTGAAGGGAATAATCCTTGAGCGATCAGTAAAGATGGAAAGTTGAAGAATCTGTGAAGCTTCAACGAATCCCTCTTCTGCTGAGCTGCCCATACCTTGCTTAGGTATACTCCAACCTACATGTCATTTGTTGTTGTTCCTCCCCGTCCCAATGCCACTCTGGCCGACAACTATCAAGCTATCTAGGCTGCTCAGGACCTAACTCCTTGCTCTTGCAAGAAGGCCGCGGCTGGCCCTTTTGGAAGGAACAAGCTAATGGGGAATCTTCTTGACTTCCTTTCTTCTTCAAACCTAACTGAAATACCTTCTACTCAAACTCAAAATTTTGTCGAACTCGAAGGGCCTGCTTCAGAAGACCCTACCAAGGCAAAGCAAGCAGTACACTCAGGGGAGCCCATGGAGGATTCGACTAGGGCTTCAATGGATGTCAACCATGAGCCTTTCATCCATCCCGATCTCCCCCCTGCTTCTTCCAAGCCAATTCCTCCTTCCTCCGATCTTCTAAAATCCATCCTAGTGCTATCTGATGATCATGCCTCCAATAAACGCAAAGTGCCAAAAACCTGATACTTCCCTTCTGTCAAAGCTTGTGATTCCCCTTTCTCGCCTGATTTTGAAGGCAAAAGGAGGGAAATCACTGTTCGGGATTTTGCTGCTGAGGATTTCAATGTGGCAGTAGGCATTGCTATAGGGGTGATTCTCCCTCATGACTTAGCTGCAAAGGAGGTGATGTCTGATGATGAAATCACTAGGAAAGCTATCTAGCAGATGATTCTGGTATTTCTATGTTTCCCCTCTTGTTTCATCTGGAAAGCTAACAATCTTTCTTTTTAGATATTCTTCACCTAACTTTTCTTGTGGTCGGTAGGGACTTCAAAAGGTTCATGAAGTTGGGGCAAGGATTGCTATGAAGGATAAGGCTATAAAGGAGGTAATTCACAAATGCATGTCTACATTAGCGAAGAAGGAATTTGCTAATAAGGAATATGCAAAGCTTTGCGAGGAGATACTAGTCCTTCACGCTTAAATGCTAAGCCTGATTGATGAAAACAAGAAGCTTGCAGCAGAGGTAAAGGATCTGAAAGCATCAAAAAGTGCGATCAACGTAGAGCTTTCCCAAACCCAACTTGATCATTCTAACCTTTAGGAAGAATTTGAGCGTTTCAAGGCTGAAACCAAGGATCTAGAAGATTTTGGCTTTGAACAAGAGATGGTGAAGGCGGAAAATGACTTGGCTCCTTAGATTCCTACTCTAGAGAAAGCATATTTCTCTAAGGGCAAGCTTGCCACCTTGACAGATGCAAGTGTGCCCCAGTCTTCAGAGCTATATGCCATGAGCTCATCTGAACTGTTGTCATCCTGAAAACAAATGTCCTGAAGATAGGTATCCATTTATTTTTTTTAGAAAAAATGTAACTCTTTTCCCCCTTTTTCATGTATACATATTGAAGACCCTTTCAACAAGACTTTTTGCATTCTCATTTCTTTCTTAGTGATTTTTATCAAAAAGTACTTAGCAGGGAGCTTTAAACTTTCTACTTCGAGTTACAACTCTTAGTTCGGCCCTTTTTTTAAGAGTTCGGTCCCATGCCCCTAGCTAGGGACTTTTCAATACTTAGAAAAAATCTTACTCTAAGAAGTTATGGCCCATGGTCGGCCTTTCTTCAAAGAGTTTGGTCCCAAGCCCTTTGCTAGGGATCTTCTGATACCTATAAAAAAATCTTATTCTAAGAAGTTATGGTCCTTGGTCGGCCTTTCTTTAAAGAGTTTGGTCCCAAGCCCTTAGCTAGGGACCTTTTGATACATAGAAAAAATCTTACTCTAAAAATTTAAGGCCCTTGATCAGCCTTTCTTCAAAGAGTTCGGTCCTAGGCCCTTAGCTAGGGACCTTTTAATACTTAGAAAAAATATTAATCTAAGAAGTTATGGTCCTTGGTCGTCCTTTCTTCAAAGAGTTTGGTCTCAAACCCTTAGCTAGTGACCTTTCGATACTTAGAAAAATCATACTCTAAGAAGTTGTGACTCTTGGTCGACCTTTCTTCAAAGAGTTCATCCTTACATTACCTGGAAATCAAGACTCGGTCCTCTTGGGTCATTCAAAGACTCTGTTTCCATGCACGTACCAACCTGTCAATCCAATCAAACTCAAATCACTACCCAGTTGGTTTACAGTGTCATGCCTAACCTTGGGTCTGGACCTGATCAGGTGGCTACGCATGATTTAGGCTTCTACCTCTATTAGGATTTTTGCCTCCCTACCTTGGCTGTCACACCCCGAATTGTTTCTTCTAAAAAATAAATAAATATTCGGGGCATGACTAAGGAATAAAATCACACCAAACTTACAACAACCTTCATTATATTATTATATTCCATGTACATTTACGTAATCCTCACAAGATCATTTCAAATATTCTTGATAGAACATAAAGAGAAATAATAATAGCAGACTCTACTTATAATCTTTTTCATCTATCCTCCAACTCGACTTCATATATCTAAAAAATGTTAGATAGGGATGAGCTCACCAACTCAATAAGATAACGTTTATCAATGACTACCAAGGTTTTAAAACAATGCATAATATAATTAAACCGCGGATAAATACAAGAATAGGACAAAGTAATGAATCAAATAAATAAATAAATTTCAGCACATATAGATCATGTCAATCCGTCAATTTTCTGCTTCATGTAAGAATCGTCTCCGGGGAAAACTTTGAGGTCTTGCATCCTAGGGAACCCAATGCCCTTTTTAATTTTCTAAAAACACCAATACCGAGAATTAGGTGGTGCCAAATAGGCTACCACTGCAACTGATATTACTAACCAATGAACCCAAAGACTAATAGGAATCTTGTGAATCCTCGCAAGGATCACTCATCTATTAACCCTCTAACCTCGATTATGTGCATTCATAGTAATTTTATCAAATTCACAAAATAAAGTCATATCGTAGTCAGACCCAACAACAAATCAAACATTAAATAATAATAATAATAATAACATATATTATGCAATGTGGTTTCATAAGATAATTAGGGTCTTGATAAAAGTACAACATGTGCATGACAACGATTTATTTATAAAACTCCAGTTTGACCCCATGATTATAGCGATATAATATTACATTATATAATTAAAAATAGATTTGATATGAAAACCTCAAATATGCATGAAATGCATCAATGATAGTAAAAAATAAAAAATAAAAAAATCTACCATTGTCTTGACTTCTATTCGATACCGTGTACTGTGACAAAACAATCAAAATAATATTTTAGAATAACAATAGCTAATAAGGGCTTAGTTAACCTAAAATAATTTTTGGAATAACTAACGAAATACTTAGATTTGATCCAAAAATATTTAATAAGGATCAACTTTAAGTGACTTGAACATATAAAAGTTACTAAATAATAACTAAAAAATCTTACCCAAAATTTTGATTGCAACCGCAAACTCTTAGGTCAACAAAATTTTGACCCTTTTTCCCTTTTTTCTCTCTTTCTCCCTTCCTTTCTTCCTCCCTTTCTCTCTTTTTCCTTGTTGTGTCGTTCAATGCACTGGGCTTGGCTATTTATAGTCAAGGCTTGCTTGGTCCCCAAGCATGTTAAGGACACTTGTTCATGTAATTTTCCTCTATCTCCTTCTTTTCTTTTCTTTTTTTTCCCTCTTTTAGATTTTCAAATCTAAAAAAAAGCTAGAATAGGATTTTGTCCTTTCACAACACACACACACACACATATATATATGTTCATTCATTATATGATTAAGAAATTTGACCTAAATTATAGTCATTTGACTTGTTTTCACGTGAATAGTCTATATTTGAGGTTCATTTGTTTCAAAAAAAGATAAATCTCAATTATATAGAATCATAATTAATGACCTAATTCGCGTGTCAATGATTAATTAATATACAGGTCGTCACAATCTACCCCCCTTAAAAAGAATTTCGTCCCTGAAATTCGATACTAACCTTGAGAGTTAAAAAGATAGGGATATTTTGCACTCATATCTGCTTCTAGCTCCCACGTGACTTCTTCAATACCATGATGTTGCCACATCAGTTTTACGAGGGGAATGACCTTGTTACGTAATACCTGCTCCTTGGTGTCAAGAATTTGCACAGGTTGTTCTTCGTACGTTCCATTTTCTTGAATTTGGACATCCTTCCAATCGATGATGTGAGATGCATCTGGTTCACATTTTCTTAACATGGATACATGAAACACATCATGTATTCCTGATAACTGAGCTGGTAAGGCAAGCTAATAAGCTATATTTCCAATGCACTGTGTTACCTCAAAAGGTCCAATGTATCTAGGAGCCAATTTACCTCTTTTTCCAAATTTAGATATTCCTTTTCTAGGGGATACCTTCAAGAATACATAATCACCCACTTGAACTTCCAAGGGTCTTCTCCTTTGATCTGCATAGCTCTTTTGTTGACTTTGAGCCGTGCGTAGTCAATCCCGAACTACTTGGATCTTCTCAATGGTTAGCCGGACAATTTCTAGACCAAATAATATGCTCTCACCAGCTTCGGCCCAACGTAGAGGTGATCTACAAGGTCGTCCGTACAAATTCTCATACGGAGCCATGTCAATACTATTTTAATAGCTGTTGTTGTAAACAAATTTCACCAGTGGAAGATGTTCATTTCAACTGCCCTTGAAATCTAGAGCGCAAGTTCGCAACATATCTTTCAATATTTGGATCACCCTTTCAGATTGACCATCTGTTTAAGGATGGTAAGCAATATTGAAATGCAACTCGATTTTCATGGCTTTTTGTAAACTCTGCCAAAATTGAGCCACAAAACGAGTATCTCTATCTGACACGATTGATAATGGTATCCCATGTAATCTCACAATCTCCCATATATAAAGTTGACTTAACGTAGCTAGAGTGTTAGTATTCTTCATGGCTAAGAAATGGGCCGATTTGGTGAGTCAATCCACTATAACTCATACTGCATTGTATCCATTTGTAGTTCTAGGCAAGTCAATCACGAAATCCATAGTGATATGATCTCATTTCCACTCTAGGATGGGTAAGGATTGTAACAATCCACCAGGTTTTTGATACTCAACTTTTACTTGCTGGCATGTGGCACATCAAGCTATAAATTTAGCGACATCCTTCTTCATTCCTCACCAATATTGACGCTTCATATCTTGATACATTTTGTGCTGCCAGGATGTATGAAAAACTTAGATCGATGGCATTCCCTGGGCATCTCTTCTTTCAACTGAGTATTATCGGGTACATACAGTCTTCCTTGATATAATAATTTCTCCTTTCGCAATCACCAATTTTCAAGAGCATTCCCATCTTCCAGTTGGGTACGGATGGATTCAAGGTAGGAATCCGAACGTTGTAATTCAACAACCTTTCGTCAGAGGACAGGTTGAGCAACAAGATTAAACAAACGTGGTTGACCTTCTTCTGCACCCATCCAGATGTCAAAGTCCTCTAGTGTCTCCCTTAATCGCCATTTGTCCTTCATCATGTTGATCATTGCACTTCGGGATTTTTTGCTCAATGCATCAGCTACCACGT